CCACCCAAAACACAAGCTGTAAATAGCCTATCAGACAGATTCTAAAACTTGGACTGATCTGTTTAACAGCAGGCTTTACTAACCGGCCATAGATTTCTTACATAAAAGTATGTGGATTACATTTTTTTATTTCTAAAGCATGTGAAATCTCGTGAAAGAATATTGAAATTGGCAGCATGCACATGCTTCTAAAAAAATCACAAAGAAATACTTTTGTCATTTTTTTTGTCCATAGATCAACTCAGAAACCAAACTTCTATGACAGACTAGCACAGAAACACGTACACAAAGCCAAAGACTAAGCTAGCGTCTTGAGGTGGCTCATTAAAAGTACTACTAATAAAAAAAATAATCTACCTGGTGCTTGAAAGAGCATAACAGAAGGCAGAGCATGCGTGTGAGCTGGGGGAGCACAGAGCCAGCAATGCTCTTCCAACACTATACCAAGTACATGGGTTCTCCACAGTAACAGGCAGCTGGCACGAAACATATTTTTAAAGGAGCTGTACGCCTTAAAGTCCTCTCCACGTGAATAACATCTCTTCAGGAGATCACCAGCTTAGATGTTCGTTTTCACAAGACAGAAGAAACCAGCAGTAGCAACAAAGCCTAGGTTGTTTGGTTGTGATGTTTTGTTTTGCTTTTTGGAGAAAAGGTGGGAGAGGAAGCAGGTAGAATTCCTTCAGCAAAATTTATTTGTTTTATTGTTCCTGCAGCACATTACATTAGAGTCAAGCTCACGCATGAAGTGTCCTACAAGGACAACTTCAGAACACCTAGCTCTGCTCTTGTGTGGGCAGCACAGAAGAAGGATGCAGCCAGAAAGGCACTGAATCACATTTCCTCCAGGGGCTAACAACAGAGCCATTCCAACACCTCTAAGGGCTTGTATTCAGTCCTTTAACGGAAGAGATGGACTAGTGGATCGCTTCATAGAGTTTTGTAATTCTGTAAGTCAAATTAAAGAACTCAGCTGACAGGAAAGTTTGGCCTTTTTTCAGAACCAACTGAAGAGATTAGATCTCTTGCAATTTTAGGTGAGAAATTTAAGGGAGCAGTTCACAGGCACTGCTTAGCCTTTGCTTTCTGAAATATCATCATGATGACTCAAAGCACACAGCCTAGTATTAATCTGCCTTTTTTTAAAAAAAAAGTCTCTTCCAGTACTTATTTATGCCTAACAGTACAAGGAACTAATAGGCCTCCATTCCCAAAATCTTGGAATCTGCCCTCGACTAAAGCCATGAAGAGAACTGCAGCTGACTTAACTGATAAACACAGCCTGCTTCAGAGTTCCTTGGAGTCCCAAGTTTTACAGCCCCCAAACAAATCAATCTCTTTCTTTTACTGGCTGTATATAAAACATAACATTTGCTTCAAGAAGTGCTTGTCCAGGAGTCTTTTGAATACAAAACAGGGAAAGTCACTAGTGGGGGGGAGGAGGGGGATGAGAACCAGTACCTTGTTGGGTTTTTGTATTTTTCTTTTGTTAAGAGTGCTGACCCATTAGAGCTAAAACACCCATCTCTAACTGCTTACTACATCAGTGAAAACAAAGAAAGAAAGAAAGAAGGAGGCAAAACTAAAATTGCCGTCTTTGGCAATCTAGGGCTTCTAATCATTAAGTCTAACACAGAACAGAAGAACAATAAAAAGAGCAATTGCATTGTAAATTTATGTACCATGCACAGGTTATGGAATGTAGTGCAATAGGGCACTGTGCAGTGATAAAACTGCATTCCTTACAAAGTTAACAGCTTTAAGCTCATGATTTGTACATGCGGGCAATACTGAATGACCTTCATGCTTTCCAACATTCACTAGAAGGCAGATTTATTTGTAATCACAAGTCAGCTGTTTTGTTTTGGGGGATAAACATGTAGTCGGGAGAACAAAGGTTTAAACTCTGAATTAAGTAGTAAATGCAGAGACCAGTACATTAGCTTTAAAAGCTGAATTTGAAGACTGTACTCCAAAACCCAGAGTGGATAACATTAGAATCTGAGTGAACCCTGACGGAACTGTTGTTTGCTGATCCCTTTTTTTTTCTTTTATAAGAGAGAGAGAGATTTTCATAGTTCAGCTCCATTATAAAACAGTAGCCTCTCTAGCATATGCCTTATGTAAAAACATGTCCAGTTTCAACGTAAGAGATCCAATGTTCACAATGTAGAAATAGTTATATTACTCAGCAAGACAGACATAGTACAAGACTATCCTTTTTCTAACAAAGAAAATCTAACAAATTTTTCTTTTAAACAAACATTGCCTGTCTCTTGTTCCCAATTTTCTTAGACAAGAAATAAATAATAGTTTGGAGAAGGCGCCTACTAAACTGGACTGCAGTACAACTGAGCAGTATCCTAGGACAGTATTATTAAAATAACCAACAGCTGTTCATTGCACCAAAACCATCCCCAGGATACAGTGAACAGTAAATACTCTTTTTTTTATTAACAGACCAAAGCAATAAACCTTAGATTATCTAAAACTTCCACATAGTTCTTACACTGCTGAAAACCAAGTTCTAATTTAGATTTAAAGGAAGTAAAGAGCCTACATTAAGCAGAAGTATTTCTGGATATGCAGAGACATAAGGGAATGGGACAGGATTAATCATTTTTCCTGCACATCCAAAATCAAGACAGTGAAGAAGTATATAGAAGCATACAGTTCCTGATGTTCCAAAACAAATGGCAAAGAAAGTCTTATTTACAAGCATTTGAGATGAGGCAATAGGCTGCTGGTTTTCAACTTCCTAGGGGTTGCAGTAAGGAATTTAATTACTCCTTCACAATCTGAAGTACCCCGTTCTCACGTACCCATACAAAAAACCAACTGCTAAGTGGGATGAGACAGCTAAATACTGAACACATAGCAGTTTTAGTACAAAATTGCCAATGGAAACACACGAGGCTCTGAGTTCGTAAAACCACAGAGGTCTTTATATAAGGTTAATGGTTTGCTAGCCAAGTGCCAAGGTTCACAAAACGGGTTATTTTTTGTTTCTTTTTAAAATCTGATTTGAACTTTGTGCATTTTTCCTTACAACACTTCACTAAAATCTCAAGAACAACCAGATGGGCTGAGGATATTTTACCTATAGGTGTTTTCAAGCACCTTATTAATAAAATAAGCGACCACAGGAAAGCCTGAATACTCAGCCCTTTAGATTCATACTCCAGTTTCCTGCTCCTGGGTCAGGCAACATGACAGCAATCTGAGCACAGTACTTGGATGACTAACACTGAAACGGGTTGAAAACAGCAGCAATCATGACAGAGACAATAAAGAAGCCCGGCAATCACACACAGCTCCAATGAAAGAAAAATGATTAAAAATCACTTCCAAAAACCGCAGAGAAAAAACAGCTATGATGCTAAAACATACTTTCCTAACGGCCACTTTTCACTAAATGGATTATGTATGGTCTTAACAATATGCATATAAATAAAGCATATGGCATAAGCAAATGTTAGCATAAGATCTTGGACACCTTTAAGAATGAAACTTTAAGGCAAACAGATTACAAAGTGCTGTAATAAAAACACTGTATGTCAAAGAAGGTGTGTGTGGTGTTAAAAAATAGCTATCAATTAAAAAACCCGTCTCGTGAAATGAAAGACACAAAGGTATATTCAGCTAAAAGAACATAATCTTTAGAGATCTTAATATAAGCCACTGTCTTTACTAAAGTACTTCAAACAGAAGATTCCTCTGAAGCTGATCATTTGTACAGAGACCAAGGTAGAGAAATAATGGGATAAGAGGGCAGAAATGCACTGGGTGTTCAATGGGGATGCACTGAAGGGTACTTTTGGATGGCTCTCCCTCTCTCCTGGTGCACAGATGAGGGAGACACACAGAACATGTACAAGGTAGCTCCTTTCCCCAAAAGATTTCACCTCAGGTCTCCCAGTAAGATAAACAGTAAGGAACATATGAAAGGGTGTTCAAGGGATGTTTTCTGCGATGTGCATAAAACTATCAGGCAGCCTAGGGGGGTAAAACAAGGGGATAAGCATGAGGACTGGTGGTCTGGTGTGCCTCTCCTCAATTGCTCTGGAGAACAATTCCAGCTGGAGGAAAAGGGGTGCACAGGTTAGGGCAAAGCTGATTACAAAGGCAAACTTGAGACTAGGGTACGGTGTAATGGGTACTAAAAGGTTGCAAGTGAGGTCTGAGATGAAGACTAAATGTTTAGAAAAAGAGAGCAAGTGGTGCAAATACATAGGCTTGCTAAGGGGTCCACAGAAGCTGCTAGAGCAAAAGAACATGGGCTGAGGGTGCAGTGCACTGGGTACGTGGGAGGGAAAGA